GACTTTTAATAATAGATGAAATGTGCCTCTTGTTTTTAATTTAAATCAGCATGTAGTGCTTCTTACCTGAAGAAAAACTAACAGGAGAGGTTCCTTGCTTCCCTATGGCTAGCACTGCTGATCAAATGAGCTAGAAAACAAAAGACAGGTGCTTCCACAATGGAAATATCTTTTAGCCATAAGTGCTATCAATAGCAATCCCTCGTGCCTAAGATTCCAGTGACAAGCACCCCGATAGCTTGCCCACAGGCCAACCCTATCCAATGTGAAGTACTGAAGTCCTACATACTGTTCTACAGAAGGGGCCCCACAAAACAGGACATACAGGAAGAATGGTCCAGTGGTTAGGGTACAAGCCTAGCACATAGGAGACCTGGATTCCATTCCCTGCTATGCCAAAGACTTCCTATGTAACCTCTGTCAAGTCACTTAGCCTCTGCATACCTCAGTGCTGTATCTGTAAAATGAGGATAATATTTCCTTACCTCACAGAGGTGTTGTGATGATAAATATAATATAGATTATGAAGCTCTTTGAGATCTACTGATGAAAAGAGCTATACAAGATAGGTATTATTACTATTATAAAACCTGCAGAAACCTCTGTAAATATTCAAAAAATTTCAGCTTCACTGCAAGAATGAAATCCAGAAATGTCTTCCAGCTTTCATCTTCACACTGCCTTGGCAAGATGTTGTAATACGTGTGTCCAACACAGATTTTTGTTAATTTCCTCATAAACTTAATGAAGTGCATTCCATGCTTTACATGTTCAAAGTTATTTCCATAATTGAGCTTTAATATGCATTGCACATATTCCATTACACTTACACTGCTTGATTTTGAAATAACCACATGCAATTGCAGAGATTACCATTGTTGGCAAATGATACCATAGCAGATATTGTTTAAGCCACACTTTCACATACTTGACAATTTCTGCAATGAGTGTGTTGATACCAATAAAATAAGCAACTCAAATTTCAGATGATTGTTTCAGATTTATTACTATGGTTCATGCAAATATTTGGATACTCAATGCTCATTAGTAAGTGTAACCACAATAGGAAATTGTATAAGATACGTATTATATACAGTCAGAATTCTCTTGACTATTTTAGTTACTATCGCTTTGCTGTTATGGTTTATACAGATATTACATCCAAAAAAATTATGTTAGAAGAATGTTAAGGTTGAATCAAACACTCAAAAGTTAGGAAATGCTAGAGTTAAGGTAGTTCCCGCAATCTTAATTGACCTGTCGTGCATATTCATTCTGATCAGTCTTTAATCTCACAATTCCACAGAAATTTTCCCCAGCAGCCCCTGGCAGCCCGAAGGAGCAATTGTCCAGTTCAGCCCCTGCAGTCCTAGGATGGCGTATACTCATCCAGGTCAGATGGAATCTTTAAAGAATGTTACTGCCAAACTCTAAAAAGTCTCTCCTGAACATGTGCAAACAGATTTTTTTTTTTAAAGAGACTTGGCCAACCTTAGGTAGAGTTTCACAGGATTAGCAAAAAGACAAAGTCTCTCTCTTCCCCCCACCCGCCCCCCAATCTTAAATCCTTTGCTCCAAAGAACAGAGATGGTAAAGTTTCTCAATGAAAAGGTTATAAGAATATTTTTAACATGGGGGCAACGTATTTTCCCCTAATCCCATTCTTCAAAACAGCTGAAATTTTTTAACTGAAATGGTTTTTTTTGTTTTTTTTTAAAGCTGCCTCGGGAATACATGTTGCATGGAAAATTTCAATCTGACTGGGCAAGAATTTGCCCCCTGCTCCCTGAATTTTTCTAAAATGGCACCTGGGCACAGAGCCATACACCAGCTGCCCAACTTGGCAAGTGCTTCCCTGACTGGTGTTACATAAGCCGGGGGGGGGGAGGGAACAAAACCCTGTGAGATTAATGATGCTCAAGGCTCTCATTACCTGGGTCACAATGGGAGAGCTCACAACGTTTAGTAGTGATCATGTCACTTTTTAATGTCATGCAGCAGTAAGAGACAGTGTTTCACCCCGTGATTGTAGTACATGGCATAGGGAATGGAAAGAAGAGGCATTTGAGGGGATTTATGACCTCACAATTGGCTCATAAATGAGTGCTCCATGAGGTTCCACTCAAAGGTGGAAGAGCCAGATGCCACCTTTCGCAAAGGAAAGGCAGCTGCATTCCCATTAGAGCTGCTCAGAAAAACTACAGTTGGTGGTCCCACGTTCTGTCAGGATAAGAGGTTTAAGCAAAATGCTTTGCAAAACTGGGTCAGTTTCAACAGAATGTTGTTTCAGGGGGAAAAAGCAAAAATTGCAACATTTTTTGAATGAAATGTTGAAATTTTTCATTTTGAAATGACTTTTTGTTTAAAAAAATGTTACATATTGTTATCTTTTCTTGACTCAAACAGCTAAGTCAAAGTTCAGAGTCTTGCTGGTTGTTGCAGTTGGGAGTAGAAACTGATCATGGAATCTGGTATTTTCTTTGACCCAACCTGTTCAGAACAATACCCAGTGGAACCCTCCACCCCCCATGGTGCTAGTTTCTGGGCAGATTCTATCAGCCCTTGTTTTAGTTGTGAGCCCTTAACTGTCTCTTACTACTACCTTAAGTGAAGAATGAATTCACACATCACTTTCAATGAGGTTTTAACTGAACCCATAACAAGGTTTAACCCAGCTCATAACAATATAATATAAAACAATTTATAAATAGTTGGAATCAAAACTAAATGTTCTTTTTTTTCCAGATTTTTTCCTTCACAAAGAATTTTATCATGTTTGTTCCAAGTCAGAATGAAGCCATATTTCAAAATTCTTTGCCACATGGAACTTCAGCCACACAGCTCTGTTTAGCCACTGAATGAAGGCAGCTGCGGGGCACCAGCCATGTTGAGCTAGGGAGTCTGAACATGTTCAGAGCCATAGTTGTGTCTGGCTGGAGAGCTGCAGTATTCTCAATGTCACTGTGGCTCTCCAGCCTATGCAAGGCTTTGAGATCATACTCCACCTTTCCAATGATGGGACCAGCCCCTTCTCAGAATGGGAAGAATGGAGGGATTTTCCACTGCAGATGGGCCACAACTTGATTTTTTTTCATGGACTTTCCCCTCCCATGTTTTTTAATTAGTATTATTCTTACTAGTAGTATGTGCACAATATGCTCTGCACTGGGCAACATACAAGTGATGGCAGTCCCTGCCCAAAAGAATTTACAGTCTAATAAAGAAACTGAGAATATGGGATGCACTGAGAATTTAGAAAGCAACAGAGGGTCCTGTGGCACCTTTGAGACTAACAGAAGTACTGGGAGCATAAGCTTTCGTGGGTAAGAACCTCACTTCAGAATTTAGAGGGTTTTGTTTATTTACTTTTAATGTATCATTTCCTGTTGGCATTCTAGGAGAAATAAGTTTTAAGGAAGGACTCCACTATGCATAGAAGGCTGGCTTTCAAAATGAGGCTGCGGGGTGGGGTGGGCATGAGTATTCGCAAACTATCACACACAAATTCTGGGGTTTTAATTTTTTGCTATGGAGTTGGATTAAAGGAATGCATGGGTTCAACGTACATATTTATCTATTTGCATGGAGGCATTTGAGTGTAAATCCCTATAAATTAAAAACAAATCTGCACTCCATAAAGCGTGAGTAATCAGCTTTAATTTACCTTTCTTACTAATAGGAACAACATTATCCTGTAGCACAGTGATTTCTCAAAACTTCACCATCTCTATTGTAAGATGTAGTGTCAAATTCAGACCTGCTGTAAGGAGAGGCAGAAAGTAGATAGCTGGGGAGGCTGTACCTACTGTCTTGTTCACATGCAGAACAGCAGGGTACAAACTAGCTCTTAGTTTTTATTAAGTCCTTATATACGTACGTGTGTGTGCATGTTCATGTGCATGATTAAAAAAACACCCCAAATAAACACACTCTAATTGATGGCAAAAAACACAGCCAGGAGTGTAGAGTCAACATTTCAAAACATTAGGTACACACACACACACACAGCGTGCACACAGGCAAGTGTGCAACTTCCTCTCAGTGGAAAGAATCCACTCGTATGAGTAGCTCTGTTGAAGTCAATGGAACTACTTGTCTGAGTAAGTGTATTCCAAAGTGAGCAAAGGTTACTTGATCTAGTTGCCTATGCTGTATAGCCAACAGGGTCATGTCTCAGCTTGGCCTAGCATATAACTTAACAGGTACATTTTCTGTCATGAAAGAAGTAAAGCTTCTCTTCAGCTGTAGTTATCTGCTTCCCTTCAGGTGTCCAAAATGATCAAAACATTAGCATACGTGCCAAGTTTGCTACTTTCTGATTCATGGGAAGGTAAATTTGGCAATTCTCTGTTTCTTAACCAGTTTTCTTTCTCAGCAATTTAATTTCTTTCTGCCTTGCTTTAAGGATACCAAATCATAATCCAGGCAGTGGGCTGTTAGTTTGCAAACACATGTGTCAGCACCTAACAGGTGCAAACAAAAGCAACAATCTTTCACTGTAAATGCCAAGTAAAGAATAGAGTACAAACACTCAGAAGACATAAACTCTCACTAACCCACTCCCTTTGTCTGTACTTTGACTAGTTCTGATTTGTCCTGTTATGGCCCATTCCTACAACTCCTACATAAACTTCTGGAAGGCATCTCACTGATCCATGAGATTACTCACAGGAATGAATGTTGCAGAACTAGGCCTCTAACCCTCTGTCATACCTGTTTAAAGCAGCAATATATTAAAATCTCCCACTATGTGGTAATTAGTGCCTCTTGGGGCCAAATCACATGAAGTTCTGAGTGCCTCCTGGGAGGTGCTGAGCACACTCAACACGTCATGGGACGGGACTCGAAGTGTCTGTGCTTCTTCAGCTTTAGTTCTGACCTTGTTTTCTTTTTGCTCTCTGCTGCATTTGAAATTATCCTGCCTCGCTTCCTATCAACGAGCTGGTGACTGTAATAAAGGTCTCTCTCCTTGATGCAACCACAAAGAAAAACTCATAGCACAGAGGGGAAACCTTTCTGGTGCAAAGCAGAGGACATCAATTAGATTGCAGTACACAGCTTTTTGTTTGGAGGAAATTTCTCTTATGAGATTCTACCTGCTGCGAGAGAACCCAGGATCAGCAATCATCAAATACAGACAATGGATTTCAGGAAGGCGGATTTTGGTAAGCTCAGAGAGCTGATAGGTAAGGTCCCATGGGAATCAAGACTGAGGGGAAAAACAACTGAGGAGAGTTGGCAGTTTTTCAAAGGGAAACTATTAAGGGCCCAAAAGCAAGCTATTCCGCTGGCTAGGAAAGATAGAAAATGTGGCAAAAGACCGCCTTGGCTTAACCATGAGATCTTGCATGATCTAAAAAATAAAAAGGAGTCATATAAAAAATGGAAACTAGGACAGATTACAAAAGATGAATATAGGCAAACACCACAGGAATGCAGGGGCAAGATTAGAAAGGCAAAGGCACAAAATGAGCTCAAACTAGCTACGGGAATAAAGGGAAACAAGAAGACTTTTTATCAATACATTAGAAGC